CCTCCTGCCTACCCGTGAAGTGCATGGGAAGTCCCTATGTACTACCTCGGCCTGCCTCCTGACTGCCTCCGACTGCCTGCACTTGCAGGGCGGGCCGTCCAGGATGCTGCTCTTGCCTATGCCAAACTGAGCCAGGGCCTGGCCCTGCAGCTGTCATGGGAGCAGGCCAAAAATAGCCTGTTCCTAAAACCCTGGTTTGGTGCCTGAGTTTCAGGGCAGGCCGGTCTGATGAAAGACCAAAAATGGCCCTTCGTTTCAGGCTAAAAAGGCTACTGCCATTTTTAGTCTGAAACGACACAGGGTCTGTAGGCCCCTGTTTTTCAGGTTTTCGAGCTGAACAGACATGGGGCCTGTAGGCCCTGGTTTTCAGGCTTTCTGCCTGAATTTCAGGCTTTCAGCCTGAGGGACGCAGGGCCTGGAAAATGGCCCTCGTGTGCAGGCGCAGCATGTAACACGATTACTGCATCAGACAGAGCCATGAACTCATGACCCATCGACCAATACTTTGCAGCTATATCATTCAACAACCGCCCTCGGTCAATTAATCCTTCTCTCGCCTTGTTACCCATTTGCACAAGACTGCTCTTATAAATTATGGCCTCGTCCCACCGTCTATGCAATAACCTCATCTCCATTGACTAACCTCACTTTAGAATCATCCGTGCCAACGTTGAGACACTGCGCTCCCTGGCCTTACCACACCAATCCTGGAGCTTGCCCACCCCATTTAACTGAAATCGTAGACTTCTCCTTATCCAAATGGAAATCCATATGCTTTCACTTCTTCATATTGCTGTCAACGCCCCGCTTCCCCTCCACCGACTTCCCCCACATCCCTACTACCCCCAACCCCACCCGTATCACCCTCCATCCTACTCCAACCCCCCCCCCCCCCCCCCCCCCCCCCCCCCCCCCCCCCCCCCCCCCCCTCCCCTCCCTACCCCACTCCCCCTGCCCCCGCCGCCTCCTTGCCTCTACCCCTGGGCCGTAAAGTGTGGCAGGTTGCCACGAAAGACGAGAGTGGAGAGTACCATCATACTTACCAGTTCACCACCTGTTTCTTTTCTGCTCCACCTATTGATGCTGCCCACGTTCAAACCAGCAGGTTTCTTTTTTTTTTTAACTTGTTCTTTTTTCTGAGTCTTCAGGTTTAACAGTGCCAATTGCACTGTCAACTACACACTGCTGGAGCCCACAGTGGATCTGGGTCGGTTCGCACATAGAGGAACTTCTGTGGCTTGGTCTTACAGAGCATTGACGCTACTGTCCTCCCCCAAACGCAACACCCGGTCGTTATACCACATCTAGTGCAACTTTGAGGTCAGATGCAGACGTGATGACTATTGTAATTGGGGGAAGAAGGTAGTACGCAACTGGAGGAGTTGAGAATCTTGCAGATATTCTGATATACACCACGTTGCCTGTGTGATCCCGTCGGCCAGGAGTTGGCATGGCGTACTACGGACAACTTTAACTGGATCAGGAAAGAAACAATCACAACTAAATCAGCTCTTACCTATTAGCCATATTCCACATTGCCTGTGTGATCCCGTGGGCCTGGAGTTGGCACCCCAAAGACAGATGAAGAAACCTTTACAAAGTACGCCCAATGAAGTTGAAGAAACAAAGAAACCTTTACAAAGTACGCCCAATGAAGTTGAAGAAACGCAAAAGAAAAGAACACTACCACATGTGCCAAAATAAACATACAGAAGGAATACCCATAATGCATGCACTCACAGGTAACGCGTTGGGTGGATGTGTGCAATGACTGCCGTCGGAAAAAGAAGAAGACCCAAAAGATGAGCTCACCAGACACCTTTCCCAGATGCTCCAGACAACCACCAAACATCAATTGCATGGGAGCTCTATTGCATCAAGGAGGAAAAAGAAATGACCTTTCTACTAAGTACTAGCTGAGGAACTTGAGGTTGGAGAGGAGCTGCCCCCATACCTTGTCAGGTTCCACAGTGCGATGCATGATCCGAGTCATTTTCTCTAGCAGCAGCCGATTCTCCAATTCAATCTGCGACCAAGGACATCACACTCGCCAGAATAACGAAGCCGTTACAGAGTGGGTTACCCTCCGCAACCTGGATTGTCAGTAGCAACAGAACTGACTCCACGAAATCAAAGTTTGTGAGGTGTTCACATCTGACAGATTGGCAAAGTAGGAGGTGAATTGGCAAGGTGGACTAAGGAGATTGGGAAAGCGGTTGGCACATCTTGGTCACGGTTCATGATCCCTTAGCCTAAATCTGACCTGAAATACAGATCATGTTCAAGCTCAGAAAGAGAAGAATAGCATGCATTTATAGTGAACAGGACTGTGAGCTCGCGATTCATCAACCAAAACGGTTATGGCTTCGTGTCATCGCGTTCATGGTCATCCGAAGGTGGCCAGAGGACCGGAATGATAACTAAAAAACAGTCAAACATACAGAGTTTACTAGTTTAGTAAGTTTACAGATAACCAGAACTAGCCTTGGATAGAGAGATATGTTTGACAAATACAAATACCTCAGAGCCATGGGAGAAAGAAAAGTAATGAATTCCACCTGTGCATCTTTTGAAGTTGCGCTGCAGATGAATCCATAACAGGCACAAAAGTCATACTCTGGCCAGACCATGGCTTCTTTTATTTTCTTTTTGGCCAGACCATCTGCAAGGGATTACACCTCGGCATAAGGCCCTGCAGCAGACGCGTGCCCGCCCTAAGTGAAGGCGGGCCCCCTGAATCTCAATGTGCCCTGAGTTAATCATTTTTTGCAAATCTTGGTGGGCGCCAGACAGTTGGCGCGCGCCAGTTAGTTACATCCGCTTGCTCGTGAGAATCGGAAATACGTGTGAGCCTTCCAGGCTCTTCCAGCAACGTGGCAAAGCAGGGAGCACCGCACATTTGTGCCTGGGTGGTTGGGAATGCCTAACCAACTCGGTCCCAGGCCACTGTCCGAACGGGCCTGGGCGCAGACACTTTGGCCCAACCTGAAGCTTCCAGGCAACGCGAGGCAGGCCAGGCAGCAGCCAGCCAGGCCACTTTGCATATAGCAAAGTGCCTGGCCAAGGGGAAGGCATTCATGTTACGGACTCCACCAGGGCTCGATCCCTGGTCTGCGGGTTACCACCCGCCAGCTTGCTGTATTTGTTTTCTTCTTTTTGATTTACAATTTTTTTTGTTTTTTAATCTTGCTTTTTAAAAGGGCCTTTACGAATCAGACCCCAAATGAATGCCCCAATAGCAAGGGGCCCTGTCGGCCAGAACTTAACTTCACGAGCAGCAAATCAAAAGACGAAGTTCCTGAGGTAAAAGTCACATCCATAATGAAGTGGTAAGTCATTTTGAAAGGTCACAACAGGTCCTGAACGAACAGGTACTGGACACAATTTTCAAGACTGAGTTAGGGTCATGTCTCCTCGATGAAAAGACGTGTGTTCGGCAATGAGTCAAAGGCTACAGTCCCAGTCCAGTCATAATCCCACGAGTCAGTCCTGATTCAGACCAGGAGTCCAAAAGACAGGCCCAATGGCCCAAAGCAGCAGCAGACCATGGGAAAAGATACTGGGACACACACTTTGCAACAATCGGTACTGGGCAGGAGTCCCAGGCACATTTGAGGCTGAATGCAGGCCACGCCAGACCAGTCCAGCACTATAAAGGACTGGCCAGCCTCCCATTGGGACGGATGCTCACTTCGCATGAGAGTGTGGAAGTGCCGTGGCACTTGTGCGCTGGATGTGTGTGAGCTGTGCTAGGCTGAAGAGCAGCGCTATGTGGGAAGGAAGAGAGTGCTGGCTAGAGGGAAGGCAGCCATAGCTGCGCCAGCGCTAGTTAGTATATTAGTAGGGATAGTCAGTAGGAGATACCAGTGAGTAGTATTCAGAGTAGATCCTCGTGTGATAGGGAGTGTGCATGCGTGATGAGTGAGGGTAGACCAGGACTATAGACACACGAGGAAGAGAGAGAAGAAGGCAGACGAGAGAGGGGGAAGTGTGAGCTATGGTGACACTTACCTGTTGAGCGCTGTTTTTGACGTTTGGCAGCTGACGCTGATGAGCGCCAGGCTTGGAACTCATGTTGATTGAAGAAGGCTTGTAACTCTGTTCAGCGCTATACACTTCGAACTCACGATGTTCTCTCTCTAACTCTGGGTTTGATAATTGAGTTGAGCTTCCTGGTTCTCATTCACCTTCTATTGGGTTTTGTGTGAGACTTCGCAATCTGTGAAATCAGTGCATATGCATGTGATGTGTTGCACTCCAGCAAGTGATGAACAGTCGGGATCCTTGCAAATTTGGTGTCGGAGCAGAACTTGTTACTCTCACTGGACGCGCTGGCATGATCAAGGCCGGCGAGAAGGATAAGCTGGCTTGAGTACAGCTGGCGAGAGTTGAGGCGAAGAGGTGTTGGATTGGGATAGAGGGGGAAGTTTGCCGAAGAAGAAGGGGCTAGTGAGGAGAAGACTTACCTGCGATTGGAGCGATTGGAGCGAACGTGGAGTCTTCATCAACGGCTACAAAGAAGAGAAGAACCTCCTGCCCCACTTACCTCCATTGATTGCAAATGTGTGTGTTGTGTATCTCTTCCCCCTCCTTTCGGGTGGTCGCTGCTGCTGTCTGGACGAAACCTGTGCCCTGGTCTGAACTGACAGATAGGACTAGAGAGTCAATATCTGGTCTTCGTGATTAACCATCTGATCTGTCAAGTGGTAGGGAAGATAGGATTAGGCTGGGAACTGTGTATTGTCACGACAAGTTGCAAGTGATTGAGAACAGAGAATACCGTGATAAATTGGATTTGTCTCTAAAGTAAGTTTGAGTGCTCCCAGCTACCTACTCTATCGAAAGTGACTAGTCAGACCATTAAAGGCATAAATCAGCTAAGTAACTCAACAGGCAGCAAACAAAAAAACAAAGAAAAAAGAGAAGAGTTCCTACTTTGTATATTGATTAGGAAAACATTATATATTGTCAAATAGAACTGCCCGGTAAACCGTAGGCAGAGAGGGAGAAGAGGACAACAAACGAGGGGCTGTGACAAACTGTTTCGTCGGAGTTTCTTCTGCATTATCAAATTTCGTTGTTCTGAAGCAGCGGCATCCAGATTTTGGAAAAATAAAATAAAATTACAGATCCCATCCAATCAAGTGAACTGGGATCTGGGGTATCTACTTGGTGGGCCAGCGGAGGTCATTCCTGTGCTGACACCCACCATGGACGATTACCCCATGCAGGGATTGCTGGCCCTATCAGTGTTGCTGGGGCCCCTTTTCAGAATCTTCTTTCCCCTGGGCTTTCGGAGGATATGCACCTCCCGTATGATGATGAGATCAGGCAATGTGAAGCCAGGGCCCTCGGCTGCAGAGCAGGCTGAAGTAGAACGCCGCCAGGCCGAGAAAAAGAAAGAGAAAGAAGATAGGAAGCAACAGAAAGAAGAAGAGCTGAGAAAGAAAACTCAGCTAGAAGAAGAAAGAATTAAAAAGGAGTTGAAAGAAAAGTTAGAAAAAGAATTGCAGGACGAACTAAAGACTATAGAAGAAGAAGATGAACCTGCAGATGATACAGACAGACTCATCAGACATCAAACTGAAAGGGGCGAAAGCAGTCAGTCTGGTGGGTTGAATATACAGGTCAGTCCCTTAAACTGGTATGACCACTATAGTTATTCCAGTGACAGGATTGAAGAGACAGAGGAAGAAAGGGACACGTTTGTCGCAAAATTGGCATCCATTAAAGATAAAAGGGAAAGGGAACTTTTGCTGGAAGAAAAACGAGCAGAACTGCACACTAAAATGTTAACAGCAAAACGACAAGAGCTCAAATAGAGGAAAAGACTGCATCCAGAGGGTGAAAGGTTGCAAAGGGAATTGCAGGCGCAGAAGGAAAAACAAACAGCAACCGAAGAACAACTTGCCCTCTTAACAGCAACTGTTCTCCATACAAAACAAGAGTTGGCGGCAATGAATAAGACCTTGCAGAAAGTTGAAGCTCACCAGTATGAGTTTGAGGGAGTCTGGAATACCTTTCTGCAGAGATCTGCAGCAGAAGTAGATCAACATGTGCAAGCATATATTGTAAAATTAGACGAGCAGATCAGCAAAACTCTAACACCCGCCGTGATTGAGAAATTGGTAAGTAGTGGTGGAGGAGATGGAGGAGATGGAGACGGAGATAAGAAGAAAAGGGAGTGTTGCAAGAAGACGCAGGGAAAGTTACGAAAATAAAAGTAAAGGTGCCGTGCACATACACCGGCAAAAAGGAAGAAAGTGTTTTGCATTGGATTGCAGCGGTTGAGTCATATGTATATGGGCAGCGTATTCCGTATTGGGACAGGGTTCTCATGGCCAGTTCGTGGCCGGAGATGCAACGAGCTTTGCAATTTCCCTACAGAAGGAAGTTAATTGTCAGTCTATGGTAGAGTATTCCCAACAGACTCGTATTTAAGATTTCTTTAAAGCAGTTCGGGAACGGTTTGAAGATAAAAATTTGGCCCGAAGAATCGCTGATAGAAAATGGAAAACGGTATCTGCACTTAAATCTACCATGGATGAACTTTTGCAATGCGCTGAACATGGACTTACCTCGACGCAGATTCTTAATAACTTTGCTAGAGCACTACCCGATCCTCTCCGCACTCAATTATATCCCTGTACCAAAGAAGAGGGGATGACTTACGAGAAGTTCAGCAAGATCGCATTAGATCGTGCTGGTTTCTTGGTCGAAGCCAATTACTATCATTATTGGAAAGATCTGCAAGCGGGAAAAAAGTGGCAGAACCGCACCATTTCAGGAAGTGTTTATGGGAAAGACGACCTTCTTCTGACCTTTGAAGAAGGAGGTGTCGAGACTCTCTCCTACGACTAAATAGATTATGGTCTAGAGGGAGAACCCAACGGCACGGTAATTCAGGATAGGGACTACACGGCCGTTGCAGCCCGCGGGGGAGGGCGACAAGGTAGAGGCCGTGGCAGAGGAAGCCTTACTGACTAGCGTCTATAGTGACGACCAATGGCAATGACGGATCGACGACTTTGAGGACTGGATACTCTATCAAGGCCTTCTTCAATTTCTTGAGGTCCGATGTGCAATCTTGATTTCATTGTCAAATAGCTTCTTTCTTTTGTAGTCTACGCAAGGGAGCGGCTATAGTGAAAAAGTTCCTGACGAACTTTCTATAGTATTTAGCCAATCCTAGGAACGATCGCGACTCTGTCAAGGTGGGAGGAGTTGACCAATCTCGAATGGATGCTATCTTGTTGTCCTCAGTCCGAATACCGTCTCCATCCAATACATGACCTAAGTAAAGGACTTCGGTCTTGACCCATTCGCACTTCTTTGCGTTGATCTTGAAGTTAGCTTCCGTTAGTTTCTCCAAGATCCGCTTGAGATGGCCCTCATGTTCCTCAAGGGTCGTGCTGAAAACTGAAGTGTTATCTAAGTAGACTACTACAAATCTGTCTAACCACGACCTAAACAAGTCACTCATACAACACTGAAAAATGGCCGATAAGTTAGTAAGTCCAAAGGGCATCACTATGAACTCGTAATGCCCACCTTGTCCTGGACGTCGTCTTGTGCTGGTACTCAGGGTGCACTTCTATCTAATGATAACCTGACTTCAAATCGATCTTTGAGAAGTTTGCAACCCTGGGCCCGGTCTAAGAGAACATCTATCATGGGAAGTGGCTCTACATTCTCTTATGGTGATGGCGTTCAGACCCCTGTAGTCTATGCACATACGTAACTCTCCCTCTTTCTTTGAGACAAATAGAACGAGTGCGCTGAAAGGAGATGAACTGGGCCTAATCCATCCCTTCTCTAGAAGTTCATCTACGTGCTTACAAAGCTCTTCTAGCTCTTTGGAAGACATCTTGTAGACTGCCCCTTTAGGCGTTCTGCTGCCAGGTTCTATCTCGATGCGGTGTTGGATAGGCCTTGGCACTACTCCTGAGGGTACCTCAGGTAAGTCCCTATACTCCTCCAACAAACTAGCAATAGTGGGATGGATCTTCTCTTCTTCCTTTGGCTTGTCAAAAACTAGTCTGATTTAAGTTACTAACACCCACTCTTCGAGCTGCTCCTTCCTCATGAGTCTAGCGAAGGCAGGAGCGCTGAGGCAGCAATGTGCGAGGGGGTTGTCTACCCCGGACTCATGGTACAGGCGGACTTGCTTAACTTCGCCTAGCGGACTAGGGAGCCTGCACTCGTGCTGTCTAAGGTGCAAAGTGGCTCCTGCTACCTCTCCTCGATCTGTACCCAAAACTATATCGAACGGGAGATTCTCTTCTACGAGAAGAGTCAAGGAATGAAGGTTCTCTGCTTTTCCTTCCTTCTCTAGGCGGAAGTATGCCTGGACGCCTTCAACGTATTCCTCGACTCGCATCCTACTGTTGTCTGAGAGGATGCACTCAGCTCTCTCAATCGTTGGACTTTTAAGTTGAGCTTCAACTTTTTCAGCGCTTTGTGACTAATATAACTCCTAGCAGCCCCACTATCTATGAGGGCCTCTATTTTGGATCTAAATATCTCTACGTCTGCGAGGATTAGTTGTCCTTTCCCATCCTTCTTCATCTTGGCTCAGACTTGCCTCCTCTCCTTCAACTCTTCAGCTGAGCCTGTGAGGGAAGCGTTTAGAGAGACTCTGATACAAGCAGTCTCTGGATTGCTTACTAGATGCTGGCCATCATCCTCTGTCATGGAGATATATGGAGTGGGAGACCCTACCTTGCGCGCATGCTCAGATCCACATACTCCTAGGGTAGGGGCAGTTACGACCCCTACCGACGGTTGTCTTTTGCTGCCTTAGAAGCAGTGCGACACCTATGCTTGGGACAAAATTTGATGACGTGTTCGGAATCCCTGTAGAACACACACTGGAACCTATCTATACGACCTTGCCACACACTCTGCTCAATTCCCAAATCCTCCCAAGGTCGACCCTCGGGCAGACCTAGGTGCCACCTTCCCTGTCTGGGAGGTAATCGACTCTGACACAGACCATTAGAAGGGGGACCTTGACTCCTTCCTCCCGCTTGGCGGTTTCCATTGCCGCCAACCCCATGGCCACCCTGTCCTCGGCCACCTGGGGCCCGACCGTTTGGGTCAGGCCCTCTTCCTTGCGGCCTCCCGCCGACCGCGACAACAACGTAGGTTCTCCCTTGCTCTACCACACTGTCTTCTTCTTCCAGTCCCCACTCAATGTCTGAGTAGGGAACTTCCTCAGCACCACCCTCTTCCATTGTTAGAATTAGATTGCCCTTGGCCTTGAACTGGTCAGATGGTGCGTCCCTTCCACATTTTTCCTTTTGTCAGATCTTTGTGCCAAAATGTGGTAACTGGCGAAGCTTGAGCGGCGAATGAAACAACCTCTCTACTAAGTACATCATAAGTGATGTCTGGCTGCTGCTTTGGGGTGAAGAAGTGCCCTTGCACATGCTAAGGCAATGCGTGGTAGAAGAGTTGAACTAATTGTGCATCAGTTACCTTGTGCCCAGGCACGACAATCAGTGGACTTAAGGGCGTGTACACTCTTCCACTGCCGTGTGTGGTTCATCTGTAATTTGTCAGAGGCTTTAAGCCCATGCGTGACGTTTGAGAATCGTTCCCTAAGCGCCTGAAGGAATTCGGAGAGGAGAGTTATCCTAAAATATTGGACCATATCATTCTCACATCGTGTTGTACGTGTAAATGACCTTGCAAAGTTGGTCGTTTCCTCTCTCAAGGCTTGAAAGGCCACTAGGACATGATCTTTTGGTGCTACGCCCTCTAAGTACAGATAAGAGTTGATGTCAGCTTCCCAATTGTCAAAGCCCTCCCTCGTCTTCCCATTGAAGGGTTCAGGGAAACGGACTTTGACCTTCTCGCGGTGTGGGGCAGGATCCTCTTCCTTGGAAGCCGCTAGCTTGGTGCCTTCTATCGCGCCCGTGCAGAACTTTTCTGTCCTACTGATCGCAAGGTGGATCTGGTCCACAAGATATTTCATCATATCCTGCACAAAAACTTTGAATCCGATTTGCATGGATTCTAAAGCAATATCATGGCTGCAAAGATGTTTCATCTCTCTTTGCAGTCAGTTGGGACTCTACACTGTGTGTCAGGGTGTCAAGTTTGGTTCCTATCTCGGTCTCCTCCCTGATCTTCCCCATCCTTGTCTTTGTCGCCTTCTACTCCTTGTCTAACTTTTCTACCGCCTCTAGACGCCTTATTCTTTCTTGTGTCAGGCGCAATTTCCATTTCAATTGCTTTTCATGTTCCCTTGCTTGTCTGCGCAAGGGGTCCCTCTCCTCCTCCAATTCTCTCCTTGTTGCTTCTCTCTCGCCTGGGTACCATCAACTCCGCTTCTCTCTGCTCCTCAAACTCTATATGTGCTTCCCATTCTTCCACTGTCTTCTCCACTTCCTCTAATGAATATTTGCTTGTACTCCCCTCTTCGTCTTTGCAAGGCTCCTTCTTCCGCAACCTCTTCTTCTTCTTCTTCTTCTTCTTCTTCTTCTACCTTTGCCTTTATTGTTTCCATCTTCTCCTCTTGCTCCTTCTTCCATCTTTCCAGTTCTTCCTCCAACTGCTTTTTCTTCGCCTCCTGCTCCTCTAGCAGGGCCAACATCTTTGCATGCTTGATCAGTTCCCGCTTCTCCATTCTCTCCTTTCTTTCCCTCAAAACGGAGACCACTTTCTCCTCTCGCTCTTTACTATAGGGAGTGGTGCTCACTCCAATCCTCGTGGTCACCATGGTGAAAGTGCACAATCACAGACGATTCCGCTCCTCAACACGTAGACCTACCGGTCTGAACTCGGGCCTAGAACAACTGATTGTCTACTACTCACGTCTACTCTAAGGTTGTCACTACAGGACTCACTGGCTGATCAGGAGGCATTTAAGGAGATCCCCCATAACTCCTCAAGAATTCTTTAACATCGCAAACAGGACGGCGCGATCAACCGAGTCCTCTCAAGACTTAGACAACTGGACACACAACCCACAACTCGGAGTTCGGGCCAACCACGCCACACAAAGCAGCCCGTCGGTCAGTACCAGTCCTTGGGGGTCTTGTCCCCGGGACGTGTCAGTCATCAGACGCGGCCTTTAGCCTTACCAAGTCCCGTGTGGGTTTGGGCTCGCAGCTCTACGACCACATCCACAGAGTCTTATAGACCTGGACAGAAGTGATACGGAGACATGACAGACTCTGATAGACTAGACGCCAGCAAGTACCAAGGTGAGGGTGCACATCCACAGGGTAAGGGCTAGGCCAGGGCTTGGAGAGATGATACCGCTCGTCTTCTCGCTCCAGCTTGGTCAACGATCCTGGTCAACACGCCGGTCAATGGTCTTGGTCAGCCTCAACGCTGGTCAAGGGTTTTGGTCAACCTCTGGTCAGCCCTAGTCAACCTACCTGGTCAACCTGCCGACGTGATGGCTATGGTGGTCAACCTTCTCCTCCGTCGCCCTCTTCTTCTTCCTTCATCTTGGCTATGGCCGCTTCACCTCCCTCTTCGTCAACTTCCTTCTTCTTTCTCTTTGCGTCTTTCTTCAACTTAGAATCAACACTGAACTTGCATTTGCACCTTGCGCCCACACAAACAACTCAGAGATATGTCTTCCACTCAAAACTCAGTTCAAACCAACTGTACAACTCGTGGCAATGGCCGCCGAACACTGTATCCACCACCAGCCCCACTCTCCCTCATGCACACAAGTACGAGGATCTACCCTGAATGTCCACTCTACACACACACACACACACACACACACACACACACAGACACACACATGCATACAGGTTCAAAAGAGGAACGGATCAGATGATTGGAAGGTAGGAGGGCAAGAACAGGTAAGCAGCCAGACTCCCTAAAAAAAAGTCGAACTACACCACCAATCATCCGGCTGTTTGTATTCCTTCCTTCCTTTTTTCTTGTTTTTTCTTGTTTTCTTCTTCTTCTTTTTTCTTTTGTTTCGTCTGTTCACTTTTTCACCACCCATGGTTATAACGGTACCACACCCTTCAACGAGAACATTACGGGTCGTGCACATTAACACTGGGTGATGATCTAGACGGCCTAAAGGACGCGGACGGTAGTCGCCAGGCTACACAGTTTGCGGGTTGACGGACCTCGAGGCTTGCACCTTTGCAGTCGACGAATCCGCGGAATCGTGTCTTGTCTCCCCTTCTGTGTCTTGTTTCTTACTTACTTTCTTTTGTCTTTTTTCGTTCGTTTTTCAACTTTTTTTCAATTTTTTTCTCTTTTTGTTTCTCTTTTTTTTTCTTTTTTCTTTTTTCTTTTTGTACTGACTGTGCTAAGTTTTGTTTCGCCCGTTTATATGCTTGTACCATAGAAAGCGGAGACGGAGGCATCATATGGATTATAGTAGGCAGAATTTGAATAATAAAATCCCAATACGAAGCGTGAGACTCACACACTATCAGATGGGATGCAACGGGTGGGGAAGCTGAGAAGTGACGACTGTTGCCGAGGATGAATAAATAAATTGGAAGAATAAGAATAATGGATAGGAAGTGTTTTACGTAGTTTCTCGTTTCTTCGTAGTTTTCCTTTTTTCTTTTTTCTTTCTGTGAGGATTGATCCCTCAAGAAGGGGCCTTGCCATGATGTACATGTTCTGGGCTAAGGCCCCATCAAGCCTCGTGCCCGCCCTAAGTGAAGGCGGGCCAGCAAATCAACAAGTGCCCTCTGTGCAAACATTTCACGAAGTGGGGTCCATACAGTTGCAGCATGCCAGTTGGTTGGAGTGCACCGAGTCTCGGATCTCTGCAAATGCAGAAATCCCAGGGCCCCTGAGTTAGTTAGGCCCTGGGCACTTGAATGTGAGGCCGACAATGCATGCTGGGTATAGAGGCCGAAAATGCCAAAGGGAAATCGGCCCACTATCTGAATCTGGCCGCAGGCCTTGACGAAAGAGGCGCAACTGCATCCCCCGGGCCTCAACTACATCGGGCCTGGGTTCAGGCACTAGGGCCCAGACGCAGGCTGAAGGGAGGCCGCCCACACGCAACATTGGCATATAGGTAAGCAGGGCGAGTGGGCAGGGATCTTGGCCATTGCGGGCAATGCCGGCACGCTGCGCTAATGCGAGCTGCTGCACTGCGCTAGGCTGAGGTGTGAGACAGGCAGGCGCTAGGCGGTAGGGCGTTCCCTGTACACAGGGCGTTGGCGGCCATAGCCGGGCTGCTTGAGGGCGCAGGAGAGGTGAGGGCGAAGGTGGTTCTTCAAAGGTGAAGGGCGCTGTGTGGGATAACAAGGGAGAGTGTGGGTAAAGAAGGAGACGTACCTGGTGGAGGTGGGAGGTCGGCATTGGTGTTGACATCATCACTCGCTGGTCGTCAAGTTGTCTGGTTGCTTTCATTGCTGTAGTTGTAGGCTTAGGCTATAGAGTAGATAGGGCGCCTGGCGCCATTCAGGAGAGAGAGCTACATTGGGTTATGTTGTTGGTGTTGCTCTGTTGGGCTTGGACATTGACTCACGATTCTTCTGTATTGTTTCTCAAATGGATGGTTACTCGGTTCCATTGTGCTATCTGCTCTTGCTTTGACTACTTGGACTTCAGTGTGATTTTGCAATCTGGATTTCTATGCTTCGTCCATATTCATGTTCCTTGCAATTTGGTATCGGAGCTGGTTTGATTCGCCACTTACCTTGGTKCGCTGGCGTTATACAGACTTGGTGCRTTGAYGATGCTTCTTCGCAGTTGGTTCTTGTGACGTCARGCCATGTTAGGCGCACAGCCTGGGTAGAGAGGTGTGCGCCGGAAGGCTAAGACGACATTGATTGCCGTGGTGACAGGCGGAATGTATGATTGGTGATGAGGGCATGCTGATGTGGCATTCGGCTGAGGTGGCACTGCATTGCGTTGTGGGTGGTACCGAGGCCAAGACCGGTCATCAAATGCACACTCAGCTCAATTGGTGAGAAATTTGTGGTTGGGGGCAGCTATCTCCAGGTACGTTGATCCCTTGCCTTATCTACTCTCTCAATCTCTTCTTATCGTGAGGAAGTGAGTCCAACTTGAGAGTCCTCTCTTTTGGTGAGGTGTCGTGTGAGCGCTATGAGACGACAATCTTCCCGGAAGCATCTGGAAGGAGAAAGGGCGGTACCTCTGAAGGGCCCTGGTCGAAGCACTGGGTCACGGTCACCATGCCAACCCAATGGGAGTAGGTCACACATGCGATGGCTGCTGTCCATTTTGGCACTTGCTGCGCTGAATAGAAGTCTTGTCGGGTGTGCCAGCCTTTTATGAGACGCTTACCAGACCGTCTATAAACATTTCTGGTTAGGGACTCGGATTGAATCTGGCTGTGATCGTCGTCCTGACTGCGACGTTAAAAAAATCCTGAAGAGATGGGGGCGCTTTTAAAATTCCTTCTGATCAGCCAGATCAACCGGGTGTAAGGCTCGTTCCGTACGAGGGTAAATAAGAGTGGACTGGCTGGCTTGCTCGGCAACGACTTGGGCACAGGGGTGGGCCGAAAACACACACAAAGACACCGTTGCTCAATGATGCTTACCGGTATGTTGGATTCAGGGGAAGGGTAGGTTCTAATTGATGCTCAACTGGAAACACAACCATACCCACTATTCGTACATCTGCAACATGGTCTTCTGTTATTCTTGATTAGTTGGTGGACAGACTACTAACACCTCACAGACAGATTAGAGTAGGACTGTTGTATACTACCATAGCCAGTTCTATCTAATGTTGCTGTAACCAATCAAGATACATCTAGACTATGTTGACATCTGTTGTGAATGTTGTAGGCTGCCACTTGATCGGTAAAGTAGGGGCCCTGCCGGACACAACTATTTTTAGAAAATTAGGTGTCGGTCAGACACATGCTGTGGTAGGACTCCACTAGGGGGTTCTAGTGCAAATAGTGTTAGCCTAACTCATGAGCGGATCAGACAGCGATTAGGGGAGAGAGGACAATGTGTGACTTACACGTTCGGGAGCACTTAGGGTCCCGCACGTGTTCCAGACCCTATAACCGGGAGACGAAGCACGGCTTCGTGCCAAACGTAGAGCCCGTGCTCTTGCAACAGCGAGGGCAGAAGCGAACCTAGCAGCTAGGGAACAGGCTGCTGCAGCAGGCAGAGCAGTAGCAATGTCTAGCGCAGCGGCATCCTCTACTGCATCGTCCGCAGTATCCTCGTCTGGGACCCATTTGGGTATGCCCACAGGGTCCACGTGTACTTCCAGTTCAGTAGGTTCTCGACAGTCTACAAGTCAAATGGCGGGCTCGCCGTTCAGCCCGTTGACCCCACGCGAAAGGGAGCTTCTAGAGCTCCAACAGGTTGAAAGGATCCGTGAACGATTAAAGAGGGAACTGAAACAGGCAACCGATAGAGAAAGATAAATTAAAAATAGAACAGTCAGGCTTGAAACGTTAGAGGCTGACAAAGCTGAGTTAGAGGGTTTGGATGAGTCAGGATTGACTGAACCAATGAAAGTATTGAAGAACAATATGCTGTCACTGCATGCGCATGTGGACAGCCGATTGGACTTTATGCAGAACACTCTAGACCAGATCTTGGACATTTTGCAAAGGCCAGGATTTAGGCCACCAGCACAGTCGTCGTTGCCGTTAACGGCGATGTCAGGCCCCTTTCCCGTGCAAGCTGGCACACAACCAAGTGGCACGTCTACAGCAGTCTCACAGACTGTTGCTTCGTCTTCTTCGGGTCTAGTGGTGGGAGCTACACTACCGCAACAACCTGTTCCTTCTCAGGGACAGCCGCAAGGTCTTTGGTACCCTAAGACCCCTATGAAACCGCCTCTTGCCTTTTCGGGCGAGAAGAAGGACGAAGAGCTCAACACTTGGTTGAGAACAGTTCTGGTTTGGGTGAAGGCAAARAGGACTTTGCAGGAGGAGGAGGTGATTACTGCTGCATCTTACCTCGAGGGTAAGGCAGCCAAATGGCTGGATGGTGTAGTGACAAAGGCTGGGTACGGACGACGCATGGCGGACTGTGCTAGGACAATCACGTTAGACCAGTTCATGGAAATGGTAGAAGCTCGTTGGCACAATCCTCAGCAGGCACAAATGGCCACTGATGCGATTGCATTAAAAATGCCAAAAATGTTTTCTAGAGGACCCGGCACCCAGAGGGGTGGTGGCGAAGGTAGCTACTACGTGGGAGGAAGGGGCAATGGTCCCTCGCAAGGTGGCCGAGGTTCCAACTCCACATGGGGTAGAGGAAGAGGCACGTGGTATGGGAACTGGGGGAAACCATATCCACCCCATCCTGGCTTGCCCGAAGGTAAACCTTGGGAAAAGCTAGGGATCACAAAAAACGTTTGGCAAGATAGAAAAGTTGCCGATCAGTGCGTTAAATGTGGTGACCCCAACCACATTGTTCCCTTCTGCCCAGATTACAAACAACCAAAAGGGAACAGCCAGTAGGGGTTTCAGTTGCCTCTACAGGAACTTCGGATGCAAGCAGACTGACATCCTCCCATTCGAAGGTTCCAGTGGCAGAAACAAAAAAGATAATCGATCCCCACCTAGTCAGTTGTCCAGAGGTACTTAGTGTATGTACCTCTCTAGGTGGTTCCCTCGCAGACATGGGTGATGAGTTGGCCACTCGTCGCAAAGCCTGGGTCGAAATGAAAGAACAAAAAGGACAGTTAATCATTGCAGATCTAAAAGTCAATAAGATAAGAGTAGGCAGTTTGATTGATAGTGGGTCAACACGCAACTATATTAGTAAGAAAGGATTGCAAAAGTTACGTCTCGGGCTAAAGGGAAAACAGTTGGATGAGCCCGTAGCAAGTAAATCAGCGAATAGTATTGAGATTGTGTTGGATAGATATGTCGAAGGGATCCAAACATACTTCCGGCTCGAAGCAGAGGGGAAGGTGGAACGCGTTCTCCACTCTCTGACCCTCTTGGTGGAAGATAGTCTCCCTTTTGACATTATTTTAGGCATAGATTGGGGGGAAGATGCGGATGTGAAGCTAAGGGACCATGAGTGTTGGCTCCCTAGTCCGCAAGGTGGAAAGAAGAAAGTCCGCCTATTTCATGAATCTGGTAAGGAAAGCAGCTTGGCTAATTGTTGCATGAGTGCCCCCGCGTTCGCCCGCCATGTAAAGAAGTACAATTTGTATGATCAAGTGTTTGTGGCATATGTACGCCCAATTAAGGAAGGTGAAACTAAGGAAGAGGCGAAATCCCGAGAAATTGAGAAAATTCTGAAAAAATTCGCAGATGTGGCAGAGGCCCCAAGCGGAGTTGTGGAACGACCAATCAAACATCGCATTGAAATTATCCCTGGAAGCCAGATTCCGAAGGGCCCGATTTACAGAATGCCACCCAAAGAGTTGGATGAACTGCGAACCCAGCTAGACGAGTTGTTGGAAAAGCGATGGATAAAACCTAGCTCCTCACCCTATGGTGCGCTAGTGCTATTTGTGCCAAAGAAAGATGGCGGGGTCCGCATGTGTATTGACTATAGAAGGTTGAACGATATAACAGTTAAAAATGTTGAGCCATTACCCACAATTGATGATTTGTTGGATCGAGCTCAAGGGAGCAGGTACTTTACAAAAATTGATCTGAAGTCTGGCTACCATCAGATTGAGGTAGAGCCAGAAGACCAATAGAAGACTGTGTTTCGTACAAGGTATGGGCACTATGAGTTCATTGTGTTGCCCTTTGGTCTTACTAATGCACCTGCAACTTTCCAGCGGACGATGAATGAACTTTTTCGTGAATGGCTTGAAAAATTTGTTGTTATATATCTAGATGATATCTTGATTTTTAGTAAAAGTCTCAGTGAGCATTGTGAGCACCTTCAACTTGTGCTAAATAAGTTGCGTGAGGCAAACCTGAAACTGAACCCGAAGAAGTGTGAGTGGGCCAAGCGTCAGGTGTTATATTTGGGGCACGTTATAGACAGAGATGGTATCAAACCGAAAGACGCAAAAATTGCAGCTATTCGAGATTGGCCCAATCCACGTACATTGACGGAACTACGATCGTTCCTTGGATTGGCTAACTACTATCGAAAATTCGTAAAACACTTCGCAGACTCTTGAAGAAGGAAACGATCTGGAAGTAGGACCAAGATTGTATGTCTTCGTTTAAGCGGCTTAAGAAATGTTTGATTAACTATCCGGTTTTGAAGGTTGCAAATCCTTCTTTGCCCTTTGTTATTACTACCGACGCCAGTCAGTATGGGATAGGCGTTGTACTCCAGCAAGATGACGGAAATGGATACAGGCCTGTTGAGTTTATGTCCCGACGACTGCCTAGTGAGAAGGTCGCCGCTTCCACGTATGAAAGAGAGTTATACGCACTCCTGGAAGCTTTCGATCATTGGCGTCATTATCTCCTAGGTCGCCACTTCAAAGTGTACTCAGATCATGAGACACTTCGCTGCCTAAAAACGCAGGCCCGGATGACACCTAAACTGACTAGGTGGGTTGCGGAGATCGATCAGTATGACTTTGAACTAAAGCCAGTAAAGGGTAAGTATAACGTTGTTGCTGACGCATTGAGTCGAAAATTTGATTTAATATATTTAAATGTAGGCACTAATTTACAAGATAAGATTAGGGATGCTTATTTCACTGATCCTGTTTATGGCGCTATGCTAAAACGTGTTCAAGAAGCGCCACAAGAGTTTCCTAACTATCGAATAACCCAAGGACTGTTGTTTGAAAGAGCAGACGTGCATGATAGGTTTTGTATTCCAGACGTGGAAGAGATTAAAAGTGTGATCTTGGGGAAGTGTCATGATACGGAGGGCCGTTTCGGTTGGAGGAAAACCTATGCTAACCTCTTGCGTTCTTACACCTGGCCTCGAATGAAGCCCGATTGCATCGCATATGTGCAAGGTTGTCAAGTGTGCCAACGGAACAAGAGCACCACACAGCCTCCCCTTGGTCTCCTTAAGCCTTTGCCTATCCCAATAGGTCCATGGAACTCTGTGTCCATCGATTTTATGGACACAAAGGTGAAAAGCAGGAACGGGAACACCCAAGTTATGGTGATTGTTGACAGATTTCGTAAATTTGTCGTCTTTGTGGCATTGCCTTCGGAAGCTAGAACCGACTTTGGTAATTCGGGAATTTTTTAATCACTGGGTGAAAGATTATGGACATCTCTTGACTATAGTTAGTGACAAAGACTCGCGGTTCACAAGTGAACAATGGCAGCAACTGATGAATGTTTGTGGCTCTAAATTGACAATGTCGTCAAGGCGGCATCCTAAGACGAATGGGCAAACTGAGCAAATGAACAAGATTCTGCAGCAGACACTGCATATGTACATTCGTCCTGACCAGATTGATTGGGATGAGCATTTGCCCAAAGTTGTTAGTGCCCATAATAACTCTGTACACTTATCTACTTGCAAAACTCCAATAGAGTTGCATCTAGGATGGTGTCCCCGCAGACCTATAGATTGTTTGAATCCAGATCAAGTACACAAACTTTCGTTGGGAATGCGAGAATCTGCAATGCAATACCAAAGGGATCTAGAAAAAATAAAAGAGAACATAATCAAAGCTCAACATCAGATGATTGAACAGGGAAATAAACATAGAAGACCTTCTCAGTTTACTGTAGGCGATCTGGTATGGGTTAAATCTAAAGAGTTTATCCCAGAAGAGAACATCTCTCAAAAGTTGCTACCCGCCTACAGAGGACCATGGCAGGTATTGGATGTGATAGGAGACACGGATGGACCATCTTACGTTATTGAGATTCCTCTATGCCTACATACGTATCTGGTGTTTCATGCGTCAAAGCTCTTACTGTGTGTAACTAATGAACTGTTTCCAAGTCGGAGGTCAGCAATTCCTCCGAGTATGGATGGAAAATTTGATCTTGATAAGATTGTTGTTGAAAGTACTATTCAAACTGGACGTAGAAGTGGACCTCAGCGGCAATATTAATTCAGATGTGCCTATCACGATCCAAGTGAAGACCGCTGGTTTAGTAGGGAAGAGCTAATTGAATCAGCATTGCATTTTGTATATGCTTATGAAAGAGTGAGAAGAGGAATTAATATTGTGGATAGGTAAGAACTTTCTCAGAGGACTTCGAAATTAGGTCGGCGAGGGTAAAAGGGCCTTTACGAATCAGACCCCAAATGGATGCCCCAATAGCAAGCGGCCCTGTCGGCCAGAACTTAACTTCACGAGCAGCAACTCAAGAGACGAAGTTCCTGAGGTAAAAGTCACATCCATAATGAAGTGGTAAGTCATTTTGAAAGGTCACAACAGGTCCTGAACGAACAGGTATTGGACACAATTTTCAAGACTGAGTTAGGGTTATGTCTCCTCGATGACAAGACATGTCTGTTCGGCAATCATAATCCCACGAGTCAGTCCTGATTCAGACTAGGAGTCCAAAAGACAGGCCCGATGGCCCAAAGCAGCAGCAGACCATGGGAAAAAATACTGGGACACACACTTTGCAACAATCGGTACTAGGCAGGAGTCCCAAGCACATTTGAGGCTGAATGCAGGCCACGCCAGACCAGTCCAACACTATAAAGGACTGGCCAGCCTCCCATTGGGACGAATGCTCACTTCGCATGAGAGTGTGGAAGTGTCGTGGCACTTGTGCACTGGATGTGTGTGAGCTGCGCTAGGCTGAAGAGCAGCGCTATGTGGGAAGGAAGAGAGTGCTGGCTAGAGGGAAGGCAGCCATAGCTGCGCCAGCGCTAGTTAGTATATTAGTA